CTGGCCGGCCATCCACTTCTTCTCTCCGGGTCTTGGGCTCGGCTAATGCTTTTCTCCTGAACTCAGATCTAGTTTCATCCTCACTGCCAACCCCAATCCTATGCTTGTTCATTCCGTCAGTTCCACTTACTGTCTTGGACTTTGCCTGCCTGTTATGAAAAGGCTGCATAATCTGCCTTAAGGTGGTTTTCTTAGGTTCTTAAAATCGTCTTCATTGAATGCTTTGTATAAGTCTTCCCCATTCTAATTGAAAGTTCTCAGGGCCAAAATCTAGAATGCAGTATTTTCTCATGTGCACCTCCTCTCATGGAATCTTACCATGGTCACCGTCCCCACACTCACTCTCTCATTTTTTACTAATATTGTTATCATCCACCTTCACCTATTCGCAAGGTAAATGTTGTCATGTGCCATAGAGTCACTTATCCTGAGCCAGCCTCACTGACTCCGACACACTTAACCCGTTGTCTCCGTTATTCTATCATTTCATCTCATCCAGGATCTTCCTCTCTTGTGCTGTCCCTCCACCCTTCCAAGCATGATATCCTTGTCCAATGATCAGTCCCTCCAGGCAGCATGCCCAAAGTATGAGCTAGAGCTTCAGAATCCTTGCCTCCAAGGAGCTGCCTGATACCACCCTCTCCAGGATGAATCTGTTTGTTTTCTTCGTGGTCCATGCTCACTACTGTGTTCACTGCTGTTCTCCAGCACCGCAATTCAAAGGCGTCGATGCTTCTTCCATCATCCTTAGTCATTGTCCAGCTCTCTGATGCACAGCAAGTAGTCTCCAGACTGACATCCTTGTGCTTCAACACGAGGATCACGTAATATAATGTGTGTTAAGAGCCTTTTCTACATCCTGAGGGGCTGCATAAATAGATGACAGTGAGTCATTACATTTAAAACCTAAACAGACAAAACGCACACTGAAGCCAAATGCTAATTCTGTACGGCCTGGGAGTCTCCCTGCTGCCTTCTGTGTGGTGGCTCAGGGCTGTCTGCTGTGGTCTTCCACATACTGAGTTATGCAGCAGAAATGGAAAAGCTGATACATCTGCTATTTGGCAACTCTAACTCGTATTTAGAACCATGTTTCTTAGAAACATGTTTCTGAGTAACATCTCTACAGTGACTCTTTAAAACTTTTATTTAGACGTTGTTTTTGGTGGTGGTTGTGTACTATAGAGTCAGAACCGACCTTTCAGCGGGTTTTCAGAGGCAGTTAATCACATGGGAGGAGACTGCCATCCTTCTCCCAAGGAGCAGCTGGTGGCCTTGAACTGCATGCCTTCAGGATTGCAGCACAGCTTCTTGCCACTGGGCCACCAGAGCTCCCTTAGTTAGACACTATTTCCAAATAATTTTTAAAAAAATATTTACATATAGCTCTGATGGTGTAGTCCGTAGATGATATGATGCTGATCTACAGGTGGCTGGTTTGAATCCCAGCAGGAGCAGCAGGAAAAAGATGAGCAATATATGTAAATATATCAGAACTGACCCGTAGCTGACCTTCAGGCAGGTTTTCAGAGGCTGTTAATGTACGGAAGGAGGCTCCAACACACCTAATCCCATTGCTCCAGTTACTGTCTCAATCCTTCTCATCCTAGTCTTCCTTTCCTGTGCTGTCCTTCCACCCTTCTAAGCATGATGTCCTTCTCCATGGACTGGTCCCTTCTGGCCACGTGCCCTAAGTGTGTGAGATGGAGCTTCAAAATCCTAGCCTCCAAGGAGAGACTTGGCTTCACTGTCTCCAAGACAGACCTATTTGTTCTCCTGACAGTCCCTGGTATGTTCAAGACTATTCTCCAGCACCACAACTCGAAGGCATCAGTTCTTCTGTCATCCTTAGTCATGGTCCAGCTCTTCGATGCATAGTGATTGCAAAGACAATGGCCTGGGTCGGGCACACCTTCATCTCTAGACTGATGTCATTGCTCTTTAGCACTTTGGAGAAGTCCCTGACAGCATCCCCAGTACGATTTGTCTCTTGGTTTCCTGACTGTTAGTACAAAGTGTTAATTGTGCTATATGTATTTATTCAATTGGTAGATACTTCCCATGTTCTTTTATACTTTCCTGCATTTCTTTTTTTAATTATTATTAAATTTTATTAGTTTTAATGAACATTTACAGAGATTTTGGGGTTTCATTCCTTCATTGTTGCACTGTTTTCTCTACCCTCC